CCCTCCCTAGATTCACACACTAAGCATTAAAAGAATAACTCACCTGCACAGTATTGTTCGCAAGATCAAGAAGCCAAAACCCAATTATGAAGACAAGAGCTGCCATGGTTCGTGTACCTTTGAAAGTTCTGCATTTCCTTAGATGAGTTGGTCAACCTTAAATGGATGTTTGTAGAATAGAGTACCAAGAGTCAAGAGAAGGCAACAAAAACCTGCAATGCTCTTTTGTATCTCCTAGCAAGGATCCGATGTCTGCAGAAAACCCGATTAATATCACCTATATATTACAAGGCTTGGTTCAGCTGATATTTATTGCAGTATAGACTAAATCAACCCTTGAGAAGTAAAAGAAAAGGCTTACAGAAACTGAGATCAAGAGAGATCCAGCAAGAATGAAGGGACGTCTTCTTCCATATTTCGATAAGCATTTATCACTCCAAATGCCAACACATGGTTGAACCTAAAAGAAGAAAAGCTAATAACTTAATAAACTAATTATGAAAAACATAACACAATTCAAAATTTGCATAGCTATTATTACTATAGAACCATACTTGAGACAATTGGCCAATTGACTTGGTGGTCTTTAACAAAATAATTTGCACTAGAGAGAAGAAGAATAAAAACTAGTTTACAACGGGATAAAGGGCTCTAAAAAATGGTCAGAAATGGACCCAATAATCATATACAACGGTTTACAATGAGAGTGTCATGAAAAATACAAAATTAAGAATGTTGAAAGAAATTGGATACGGTCACTTACCACCAGGCCTGTAATAGGGCCGCAGAGCCAAATAAACGAAGAAAAAGCGTGTCCTATTCCAAGTGTCTGAAACATTCAATCAAAGTTGAGAATAGTTAACCAAATGATGACCCAAACAACATGAATAGAATTCTCAACCAGTACAAGTAATCATGGTATGGTAAAGATACAAAAGAACACTGTAAAATAACATGCATTGCCAATAAAGAGATCAACAATGGCATGAATAGTAACTGAATAAAATCTAGAAAAAAAAAAATCCATCTTCTAAATTGAACTCCATTATCGTAAGTCGTAATAAACTATTCCCAAAAAAAAAAAATCTCGTATGCGACTCTTTTCTATACTACAATAGCAGTTACTACATTAAAAAGCCGTTCTTTAACATTAACACATAGAAAATTGAAAATTCAATGCAGGAAAATGGCTAGAAGTGACAAAATCGACTCGAATTGTAATCCATCAATAAGAGCATCAAAAAGAAAAAAGAAAAAAAAAATGCAAAATGAGAAAGCGAACCTGTACATATCCTTCAAAAAAAAAAAAAAACCGAACCTGTACATAGGGAGTCAAAAGAGAAAGCTGCAAAGCCCAGCCGAATTGGACACCGGCGGCGACCGTACAACTGAGAACCAGAGTCACCAAACTGCTGTGCTTGGATCTGGGAGGATTCGGCGTCGACGACGAGAGGTCGGTTTCTCCATTAGAAACCCTAGGGGACGAAGGCGAAGACGAAGAGGAAGGACGCGAAAAACTCGATTTGAGCTCGATCCGATTGTGAGCAGGCTCGTCCAGTCCCACCATTTCCAGCTCCGCCTCCTTCAGGTTCCTGTACGGAACCCGGATCGTCACTGAGTCCGCCTTTCCCGCCATTGATTGGTCTCAAAGACTCAGCAACAACGCGAATTCAAACCTCCGTACATCAAATTCAGTGATCGGGATCTAGGTTTTTTCAGCCAATAATCCAATTTCAGAGTTACAGAAGAGAGAGAGTGTGTGGGTTACAATGGACATAGCCCGATCCAGTTATCAGCAATATTTTACTACACCGCACGTCTATGGACTCTCCTATGTAGACTCTATGGGCCGTCGGATGGTAATCGTGGGTCCACACGATGATCGGAAGTGGGCGACAGGGTAAAATGTGATTGATCGGACGCGTGATTCTCGCAGGAAGCTTTCAAGTGCCTTTCGTGAGAATCCTACGTGTAACGTTGACGGAAAGTGAATGAATTGGGACCGTTAATCTAGGGCAGAGAGGAGGTAGAAAATTCAAAAGTCTAATGTGACGTTCTCATCAAGGGAAGTATGACCACTGAACCGACAGACAGGGGATATTGGACTTAAATAATGGAGCCAATTTTGACGAAGAGAGGTTTTTTTTTTTTTTTTTTTTTTAGAAAATTTCATTTGATGCATTCTGATATATATTTGAGTTTAGTATTATTTATTTTTAAAAATTTTATACTGGTATCTCGACTTTTTTAAAAAAAAATTTATATTTTAGAGTTATTTTTAAAATACAAAAAGATAAAATTATCTTTATTATAAAAATTTATTTGTTGATCAAAAGTTTCAAGAAAAAAAGATTTTAAAAATTATTATACATGTAGAGCATAATCCTTTGTTAAAAATTCAGCTTTAAAATTTTTTTTCTGTAAAATTCTTGTCAACAGATGAATTTTTACACTAAGGGTAATTTTATCTTTTCATATCCTAAAAAATAACTCCGGGGTACCAAAAAAAGATTTTTTAAAAGGTCAAGATATCGATATGAAATTTTCAAAATCAAAATGTACTAAATTCAAATTTCGATATAACAAATGATATCAAAATGAAAATTTTCCTTTTTTATATTTGTTTTGTTGCTAATTCACCTAAAAATTCTTTGTTTGGACAAAATTATGACACTTAGGGCCCGTTTAATTCGTACATTTAAACAAGTGATTCTTAATTTTGACATTTAAAATTTAAATTTTTTATAATAAAAAAATACTGTAATAGAATTAAAATTATAAATTTAAACGCATAAAACAAATAACCTCTTAAAATAAGATTAAACAAACATAAATAAATATCAACTTCTTGGATACTTAATCAAGGTTGTAAAAGAAGTAACTGGTGCAAAAGGAAAATTAAAAGTAATTGAAGTAATTAGAATTCGATGAACCTGACATCCAGGAAAAAGGCATGATAATAAATAATAATATAATAAACTCATGTAGAAAACTACGAACGGCCGTCTTTTATTGTCAAACGAAATCACGTTGCAATGATATGCAATTGTCATGAATACAGATTACAGTGTAGGACGGCTCATTTACTTCAAGAAGGGAATGACAGTATGAAAATAATTGAAAATGAAAATAATTATTTTAAAATAATTTTATTTTTTTGTATGAAAATAAAAATGAAAACGTTTTTAATCTCAGATAAAAATTATTTTTAAAAGTATGTTTGATAGTTTTATCAAGAGATTACTTTCAGTGTAAAAAACCTATTAATGTCTCTCTTTCTCTCTCTGTTTGAAAGAGGAGAAAATGAAAACAAAAAAATAAAAAACGATTAAAAGTCGTTTTTTATTTCTCTCTTATTTTACACTAAACTAAAAAATTATTTTCATTTTTGTTGTCTTTATTGCGCCAAACATCGTTTTGAAAACGTTTTAATCTTTTCTTTTTTGAAAAACATAAAAAATAAAAACGGGATCAATTTTAAACACGGTCATTGTTTTTCTTCAACCAACAAAACGACAGCTAATTATACGGCATGTTGTTTCCTCTTAAGAATAAAACGACATCCGGGAAAACGAAATTAGATACTGAGGTCGAGGTAACGAAACGACGTGTCTTTTATATTCATGGATGCATCATACATGGCAATCAACGATATCTTATTAACTTCCAGAAGAAAACGACAACAATTTTGAGCGTCGTTATTTTTCAGTAACAAATGACACACAATAGAGGTAAAGGAAGCTAGTATGAGCATGTCCTTCACATTGCACCGAGCGACATTGGTAAAAACAAATACGACGAGTCCTGCGAGATAAGTAAGCATATGTCGTCTATGACTGTGTATTTACAATAGGAACGACAACTCTTCATTGATACAATCGCTTATTCGCTTCCGGGGAAAATGGTAACTGGTGTGAACGACATGTCGTTTTTCAGCAAAAAAAAATTTGACATCTGGGCGAAACAAATAATATGGCGGGTCCTGCAAGATAACTAACAAAATTTATATCTATTTGCAGAGAAACGACAACCTGTCATCAAAACATTCAACATCATGTCATTTGCTTCGAGGGGAACACAAGGTGTAGTATGAACATAATTTTCCTACATCTAAATAAAGGACGTCTCGTTTGCTTTTCAAGGGTGAAAAGTGAAAAATCAAATAGCAATATTCAGAAAAACGACGGGTCGTCTAAAATCAAGTTGAACACATCGTTTCAAATTGCCTTGTAATCAATTTCCCCTGCCACAGTTTTCTCTACTAAGATATAAATTTTTTAATATTTATAACTTGATTTTCACAATATTTAACAGAAGGATTTGAGAGGAGGGGGTGGAAACATTAACATGATGACCACATCCGGCAAAATATGACATCTCAAGGTTTTAAGCACTTCTAAGTCCTATATGGCCAGATAACAGAAAGCAATTGCTTCTATACACAACTATAATAAAATAGCTATTTCAAATCTCAGTAGTCAATATACAGCAGAAATGGAGTGTTTGAGTTAACCGCTACGCCTCAATGCTGAACACCACGACTTCCCATGTCAGCAGCAGCTTTAGAGGCTCGATTCAGAGCATCCGAAAGCCAAAGAGCTCCCTTAGAGAAGTAGCTACTGTTTACCACCGTGTTCGCGGTTGCCAGCACAGCTGATTTGGTCCTCTCTGAGACATTGTACTTCTCATCAACAGACTTAACGGCTTGAACTCCCGCGAAAATCGTGTTAGTTAGGCCAATTCTTTCACTCAGCTGGGCAACCTTAGCTGCTGCTGTAGCCGAAACTTGGTTAGACTCATCGAGCTCCTTGGCCTTGGCCAAGGTGTCCTTTCCCAGCACAAAGCCCCTGGCTAGCATGGTTTTGACCACTTCCTGAGCCATTGTCACTGCTTCTCCAGCGTCCGAAACAAATTGGCTTCTCTGCGGAACCTGCATAGGGAAAATTCATGGCTTACTTCATTATGTTCTTATACAGAAGATTTTTATTGCATAAAACCTACCAAATTATTTATTTTACAATTACAAATGAAAAAAGAACAAAAGAAGCGCATACACTAGAACCAGGTTCATCTTCACGCCTCTCGGACGTCCCATTCCAGAAATCAAACTCATCTCTGTATTGTCCCCAGCGCGTAATGCACACTCGCTGATCGACGATTGTGGCACCCTAGGATATTTTATAGAGAAAAATCAATGCTAAACATCTCTGAAATTTCAAGATTTATACATTCGGATCACCATCCTGACCAGAGTACATCAAGAAATGAAAGATGACAGAACGACGTTCTCACTTTTTGTTTTGGTGCTATAAATGAACATTGTTAAGCAGTCTTAGTTATATTAGATAAAGATTACACATGTAAAGACTTCATTGGGTTAGTTTGTTAGAGTTTGTTATATGCACTAACTTATGTATAAATAAGTTGTTGTAACAAAATTACAGTAATGAGAATTTGGATTTCTTTCTCACTCATCAATTGCTCTTTCTCTCTCTAGAATTAGTCCGAGCTTGATTCCTAACATGGTATCAAAGCCTTCTCGCCAGTGACGGAGTTCTTTTCCGACGATCGCCATGGAAGATGCTGTGCCGATGAATTCTTCTACTTCTTCTCGATTTGTTCTAGTTGCTTTCTTGCATCTTGTTGCATCGAAGCTAGACAACAACAATTTTCTGGTTTGGCGGCGACAAATTCTCGCAACTGTTCGCGGTCATCGTCTCCAAGATTTTCTTTCAGATTCTGCACGGTCTCCTCCAAGGTTTCTTTCTCCAGAGGATGAGCTTCTTCGTGTGGTCAATCCAGCTTATGTAGAATGGGAGCAGCAAGATCAGTAGCTTGTGTCTTGGATGCTAGCTTCGATGTCCGATTCAGTTATTGCTCGGATGGTTAATTGTGAAACAGCAGCTCAAGTCTGGCATACAATAGAGGTATACTTTGCCTCACAAATTAGAGCTAAAAAGTCTCAATTTAAAACTCAGTTACAGAATACTCGTAAAAATTCTTTGTCTGTTCTGCTTCGGATTAGGCATTTTGTTGATATGCTTGCTTTGGTTGGCCATGAAATTTCTACTAAGGATCACATAGATGTGATCTTCAACGGTTTACCTCTTGAATATGATATCTTAGAGATTAGTGTGAACTCTAGCTTTACTGACTATTCTGTTGAAGAGGTTGAGTCTCTAATTCTGGCTCAAGAGGTTCGAATTGAGAGAGCTATTAAACTGACTGATAGTTTTAATCCTTCACCTGGGCCTTCTCTGGCTAATCTAGCTATGACTAGTGGTCGACCTAATTCTAATCCACGATTCAGTAGTCCTAATTTTGGTCATTTTCCTCGTAGTTCCAATTCTATTTTCCCTGGGTATTCCTCTGGTGGTTTTCCTTCTATACCTGGTCATTTTTCTGGTAATCACAATAATAAGGGCAAAGGACGTTTTGGTAGTCATGGTAGAGGACAATCATGGAATAACAACAAAATACAATGTCAGCTTTGTGAAAAACAAGGTCATATGGTTGTATAGTGCTATTATAGGTTTGACAGATCTTTCACTAGTCCTTCTCAGTTCAATCATTCAGTTCAAGGCAATTTAGCTCAATGTCCAAATCAAAATTCAACTGCTGACTCTGCTCAGATGGGTGCTTTGCTTGCTATTCCTGAATCAGTTCTTTATTCAGCTTGGTACACTGATGAATCCTCTGACATGGAATGGTATCCTGATTCAGGTGCTACTAACCATTTGACTGCAGATCATTCAAACCTCATGAACAGTTCTGAATTCTATGGTTCAGATCAGGTGCACATGGGAAATGGTAAGGGATTGACTATTAAACATGTTGGTTCTTCCACTTTTTCTAGTCCTTTTGTCTCTTCTAAATCCCTCTCTCAAACACTTGTTGCATGTTCCTGAAATTCGTAAAAATCTTTTAAGTGTCTCCAAGTTTGCAGCTAATAACAAAGTGTTTTTTGAATTTCACCCCACTTCCTGTTTTGTCAAGGATCTCATTTCCAAGGTGGTGCTGCTGGAGGGTCGTCTTAAAGATGGCGTCTATGTGTTTGACAACTCTCAGATCAACCTCAAGTCCACTGTTCCAGTAACCTCTCAAAATGTTTCTCAGTCTTGTACTTCCTTTCATAATTCTGCTAAGTCTTCTAGTTCATTGATTTCTAGTGTTCAAGCTTGCACTAGCACTGTTGTTAAGCCTTCTTGTTTTGAGCTGTGGCACAACAAATTAGGACATCCTACAGATAAGATTGTAAAACTCGTATTGAACCATTGTAATCTCTCTGACATCAATAAAACTTCATTTGTTTCTGTTTGCAAGTCTTGTTGTTTGGGCAAAATTCATAAACTACCATTTTCTCTCTCTCTCTCACTATTTACACTAGTCCTTTACAGCTTGTATATTCAGATTTGTGGGGTCCTTCAACTGTTTTATCTTCTAGTGGATAAAGATACTACATTCATTTCATTGATGCTTACTCTCGTTTTACATGGTTATATCTTCTAAGAACCAAATCCAAAGCCTTACAAGCCTTTGTGAATTTCAAAACACTAGTGGAAAAACAAATTGGTTTACCTGTCAAATGCATCCAAATTGACTGGGGGAGGAGAGTTTCGAGCCTTTACAGACCTTTTAGTTCAACATGGAGTTGAACATAGGCATCCTTGTCCACATACACATGAACAAAATGGGGTTGCTGAGCGTAAACACAGACATATTGTTGAAACAAGTTTAACTCTTCTTGCTCAAGCTTCTATGCCATTCAAATATTGGGATGAAGCGTTTCGAACTTTTGTTTTTCTTATAAACAGATTACCAACACCAAATCTCCACAATAAAACACCCTTAGAAATCCTTTTTCATACTAAGCTTGTTTACTCTCAACTAAGAGTCTTTGGTTGCACATGCTATCCAAATATTAGACCTTATAACAAAAGAAACTACAGTTTAGGTCAATACCATGTACTTTTCTTGGCTATAGCATCAAACATAAGGGTTATAAGTGTTTAGATCCATCTGGAAGAATATACATCTCTCGGGATCTCATTTTTTATGAAACCTCTTTTCCTTTTACCAAAACTGTACACACTGTTCAACCATCTTCTGTTGAGTCACATCAGTCTCCTCTTTTAGCACGACTCAGTGTTCTACCCTCTTTGTCTTCTTCTTCCTCCATGCCTTCAGTACTCTCTTCCTCTCATGAATTATCTTCCTCGCCTCTTGATCCAATCCCTGCTTCCCCTATTATACCAAGTCCTCTTCCCACTGTGGTAGAACCTATATCTATAACAACAATCTCAAATCAAGACTTGTGTGTGCAGGATCAAGATCACAGAACCACACGTACAACAACACTGCAGCCTTCTCATTCAATGATGACACGCTCCAAACGAGGTATTTTTAAACCCAAAGTGTACATGGCAGCAAGAGAGCCTCATACAGTTGAAGAAGCTTTGGAAGCAACACACTGGAAACAAGCTATGACAGATGAGCTTCTTGCTCTTCAGAGAAACAACACATGGAGTCTTGTCTCATTACCTCATGGCAGGAAAGCCATAGGTTGCAAGTGGGTGTTTAGAGTCAAAGAAAATCCAGATGCAGCATAAATAAGTACAAGGCACGACTTGTAGCTAAGGGGTTTCATCAGGTGGCATGGTTTGATTTCACTGAGACATTCAGTCCAGTGGTAAAACCTACCACTATTCGTGTGATTCTCACTCTAGCACTAAGCAGGCAGTGGTGTGTGAGACAACTTGATGTGAATAATGCGTTTTTAAATGATGATTTGCAAGAGGAAGTGTTCATGGAACATCCTGCAGGCTTTATTGATCAACAGAATCCAACATAAGTGTGTAAAATTCACAAGTCACTCTATGGCTTAAAACAAGCTCTAAGCGCCTGGTTTGAAAAGCTTCATCATGCACTGCTTCAACTTGGTTTTCACTCAGCCACGTCTGATCAGTCTCTCTTCATTCAAGTCACACCAAAGTGGACTATATACATCCTTGTTTATGTGGATGATATACTCATAACAGGGAGCAATGAGTCAGCAATCTAGGAATTGTCCACTAAGCTCAACACTGCTTTTGCACTCAAAGATTTAGGAGAGATTGATTATTATCTTGGTATACAAATTACAAAAACAACTCAAGGCCTACTTTTATCTCAACAAAAGTATGTGATTGATCTGTTATGTAGAACAAAGATGCAGTTTGCAAAAGGTGCTTCAGCTCCCATGACCACAGGACAAAAACTCACTTCTTTTGGCAATGATCAAGTAATGTCCAATTATACAGAAGTGTGATGGGTGCATTGCAATATGTGACAATCACAAGGCCAGAAATCTCATATAGTGTTAATAAGGTTTGCCAGTTTATGCAGACACCTCTAGAAGCTCATTGGAAGGCTGTAAAGAGAATTCTGAGGTATCTAGCTGGCACAATAGATTATGGTCTTCACTTGAGAGAATGTCCTACAAAAAGACTAGATTTGGTTGGCTTTTGTGATGCAGATTGGGCATCAGATGTTGATGACCGAAGATCAACCTTAGGCTTTTGTGTCTTTCTTGGTTCCAATCTAGTATCTTGGCAGTCCAAGAAGCAGCATACAGTGTCAAGATTATCTACAGAGGCAGAAAACAGAAGTTTGGCTAGTGTGGTAGCTGAGATATCCTGGTTACAATCTCTTTTAAGTGAGTCGTATTTTCAGACAACAAAAACACCAATAATTTGGTGTGATAATCTCAGCACTGTTCATTTAGCAGCAAATTCAGTTTTACATGCCAGAACCAAACATATAGAACTGGACTTATACTTTGTTTGGGGAAAAGTCTTGAGAAAGCAAATAGAAGTTCGACATGTACCTGCTGTTGATCAACTAGCTGATCTATTCACTAAAACTATTTCAAGTTCCACTTTTAGTCTCATTCGTAGCAAACTTAAAGTAGAAGATTTAACTACTTTAAGTTTGAGGGGGGCTCTTAAGCAGTCTTAGTTATGTTAGATAAAGATTACACGTGTTTGTTAGAGTTTGTTATCTGCACTAACTTACGTATAAATAAGTTGTTGTAACAGAATTACAGTAATGAGAATTTAGATTTCTTTCTCACTCATCAATTGCTCTTTCTCTCTCTAGAATTAGTCTGAGCTTGATTCCTAACAAACATCAATCAGCTGATTAAATAAGAACAGAAAAAAAAAATATATATATATATATATATATATGTATACAGTGAAATTTTGGCGAAGGTTGAGTTTATTTCCAAGTAATATCTTCAAGCTTTCAGCAGAAAAAAGAAAACGTAATGTCTTTGTAGTTGCGAAATTTAACCTTCACTTGTTTTGACATAAAGAGAGGAATCTCAAAACATAGACAACAGTTCCAATTATTTGTTCTGAATCTTGATTCATAAACTTTGTTAATTAATCTTCAAAGTTTCTACATATGCTTCGTGCAGCAGGTTACAGTATCAATTTTTAAAACTACCAAAAAAAAAAAAAAAAAAAAATCCTTCTTCACAAGTAGTTCTTTCCATAGACATAATTTAGACACCAAAACGCTAAGCAATTATTCTCACAAAAGATTTTAACAATAAAGGAGTGGATAAAAACTGCCCCAAAAGATGATCGTGATGGGGGAAGGGAAGAAGTTACTAACACTGAGCAAGCAGGCAGTTTCCTGAGAGTACGCATCTTTGAACGTCACGTAGGCAGTACACGCGTATTCACCAGATCTGTTATTTCCCACACAAAAAAGGACAAATTCATGAAAAAAAAAGATGAACAATTCAAAGAAACAAAGAAGATAGAGAACTTGAATTGAAAAGTGAATTCGTATAAACATAGTAGTAGAAAAAGTTGAACTTCAATTTTTTGTATTGTAGCAAAAAAATGTGAGCCGTGATTCGAATGGTGCAACGAACAAAACTAATAAAAAAATAGAAAGAAATTAATCGAGAAGATGAAGAAATCAAACAGACCTGATGATCTGGAGATGAAGAATGTTACCGGAGAAGGCGAAAAAGTCAAGGACGTCCTTCTCTGTGGCTTCGGGGGAGAGGCCCGTCACTTCCACGGAATATCCGACTGCTTCGTCGCTCATACTTTTCCAATTCCAAAGCAGAGAACAGAGAGACTAGAGAGAGAAAGAGAGAGAGAGACTGGGATTGAAAGAAATTTTTGTTTTTTCTAATTCTGAGAAAGCCAAGGAACTTCTAGCGACGACGATGCCACGATCTTCTTTCTTTGCCGTGTCCTTCACTCGAACGCGACGCGACAGCCGTCAGGTGCTTTAAACTATGCTCAACCTTTTTAGGCCAACATTTTTTTAGTTTACTGGGCCATTGGTCCGTCACAGATTATGGGCTTTGGTCTTGAGCCCATTCGGAGCACAGTCAGTAATGGAGACTTATTGAGCAAATTAGGTAATCTAACGGGGAAAGGAGTTAAATACCTGCCATATTAAATATCTATAATAGTAAATAGTAAATGTTTAAAATTAAATTATAACATATTTTAAAATTATTGAAGTAAATAATAATTTACCGTATAAATATTTCATTTACTACTGATAAAAAATAATTTACGTGGTAAACAATCTTTATTTAGGTGGAAAATAAATCTTTTACTAATCTTAAAAAAAAAATTACGTAGAAAAAAATCTTTTTACTAATAGTAAATGAATCATTTACACAATAAACTGCTACTTACTTTAAATCATTTTAAAATATATTATTTACGTAATTTAATTTCATAAATATGCTATTTAATACATTCTTCTTTTTTTTTTCACTTCATTTGAACAAGCTACAGTTTCTCCTATGAGCGGTTAACTTCGATTTGCAGCCAAGCCAATGATAAGACGACCTCCTTTATAGACATTTGAGGAACAGCTCCTTTTTTTTCTTTTCTTTTCCTTTTTTTTTTTTTCAAATGTAAGGTAATAAATAACTTTACTTTGGGTGCTTTTGAGTAAGAATATGTGTTGGTGCATTTGGTTTACTTTGGATTCTTCATATTTTCCTTGTCGTAGTTGATTCATGCAGGACTATAACATAAGATGTAAAGAATAATACCCGTATCATTTTGACCATATATCTTCATAGAATTCGATATTTCTCAAAAAGAAAAAGAAAAAACTTTTGGATTGTGTTTCTAATGGACATGATCAATTGGTCATATTTGTTTCTATTGAGAAATGACGTTGACGTTAAATTTTAATTAATATCTCATTTTTCACTATACACATGTCAACACACATTTTCAAGAATGAGGATCAATCATAGAATCGACCTCTCAAATCATCTGTGAGCCACCGACAGCTCGTCAATCACGGACCATCAAATGAGTCTCCAATATATGACAAGCTACTTAATGAGTTGGTAGTCTCCCAAATTTAGAAACAGCCTGTAAAAATGACTCTAGTGCATCTGGAGAGAGCCGCGAGCTTCGACAGCTCGAGGGTCGCAACTTAATGGACGAACAGCTCATCCGACGAGCTGTTCAACAGCCATGCTCTACCAAATCAAAGTCGAACCTTGGTTTAAATAGAGATATCAGCACTAAAGAGGGATTATCTCATCCCTAAATCAAGTATTCAAACGTGAGGATCATCAACAAGCCGAAAAGACTTGCGGTTCGAATTTAAATAGCAAATCCTTCTCCAACAGGAAGATCAGCCATCAAGCTTGTAAAAGAGGACTTTTCACGCATTCGTCATCTCCTAGACGCCTACAAGCAAGCCCTAGCTTCCATATTGCATTCCGAAAGTCCTATACGCATTCCAAGACAATCGGAGCACGCTTCACAGAGTTTTAGGTCTAGTTTTTCCCAATTTTTCTATATTTCATATGTTTTTTGTCAAATTTCTCTATTCTCTCTTCCTCTTCTTGTTCTCAACATCATTGTAATTCATCATTGAATATAATAAAAGCACTAGGACATAACTTTTATTAACGAGTGAACTTCTATAAAATTCTTCGTGTCTCTGTCTTTATTTATTTTCATGCATTTATTTATTGTAATTTGATACTATGAGTCGTTCAGATTTGATCATTGACCTCTAACAAATTTAATTGTAGAATTTCACCTTCTATAAAATGATGGGTGGAATGTCACTTAAATTTGCTCTGTAAGTGTTGTTATATTCGCGTAAATCCATGATAGATCTTCTGAGCTACCCATATATATATATCTCCAAAAGGACGAGCTATTGGTGTATTCTCCTAATCATACTTATTTGCAAATAAAAATACCATTCACGTTAGTGACTTCATAAATCACGCAAAATTATCCGTTTAGTTCGCTGATTCGAGTTTTTAATTCAAGTTGAGATGTAATTTTATGTGAGAATTTTTTACTGTAGTCAAAAAGTTAGATGCGACTATTTTTAAGAATTTATTACTGTAGTAAAACTCAAATTTTAAACTCGAATTGATAAAGTGAACAGGCCTGAAGACATCATAGTTATAGTTGGTGTTAAAACTTCTCAATGAAATTAGGGAGAAAGAGGAAAATAGACAAAGACTTGAGATGAATTAAAATTAATAGGCCAATAGTTTACAGAAGTTAATAAATAGGCCAAATTATTGTTTTCGTCCATAATTTATCTGGTTATAAACCATAACTTGACGAGTTATTATCCATAATTGTCCATAATTTGTCTGGTTATGAACCATAACTTGACAAGTTTATTCATAACTTATCTAGTTATAAACCATAACTTGATAAGTTATGACCTATTAATTTCTATAACTAAAAATTGACTTATATATTTTCTTAAGTTTTTTATATTAACCTATTTTTTACTATTTCTCATTAAATTAATCGAAAGAGAAGTGGTCTACCAAGAAAGAATTAGGGCCCAAAAGGATCCATTAAACCCGTGAATTGAAGAATCAAGTTTCAACCACACGACTTCTATATATCTATCAATTGACAACTCAAATAAAATAAAATAAAATAAACACGTAAATAAATGAATATCACATATTTATACATATATGATGCATAAAATATTTTAGCAAACAAAACCGTACTAAAAGTTCCGGGTCAATGTTACTAATTATAGGAAGCTTTGCTAGTCAAAGTGCTTTTGTTATTAAGGACAAATCAAAATTCCGGATGATGTTTCTTGTTTTCTTTTCATACTCCCTCTGTTTTTTCCGGAAAAAAAGGTAATGTGTTATTTTATTTATAAATATGAATGTAACTAAAATGTGAAATAATGATTGATTTGCACGAAATTTTCGGTGGCTGCTCCGCTCGGGAGGCACCTTTTGAAATAAAGCAGTAAAAATATTGCAAGCAAAGGGAAAAGAAAAGAAAAGAAAAAACAGCTATGATACATAAAAAACTATTCCGGCATAGAAAAATTTTCGTTAGTGTCTTTCCAGAATGGTAAACTCAGTTGATTATTCATTTTTTTTTTCATAATTATTCATATTTGCTTTTTCTGGGCTGTATAATACATGTCACGATCAATGAAAAGTTTGAATATCCTAATTATTGAAAGCCTTGACTTTTAGGACAAAGTAACTATTACTTACGCGCAAAATGCTGACAAAAAATGATGCTGTCTACACCAAATATTTGGATGCAAAAATGACGTTGGTGGATTTAGAATTCGTTATAAAATAATTTTAATTTTTATATTAAAATAAAAATAAAAATAATTTTAATTTTAAATATAAAATTATTTTTAATATAAAAAAATTCAATAATATTTTTCTTTTTATTTCTATTTGAGGGAGGAAAAAATAAAAATAAAAAATAAAAAATGATTAAAAGTTATTTTTTATTTTTCTCATATTTTACACTAAATTAAAAAATTATTTTCATTTTTATTTTTTATCTTTATTGCGCTAAGCGTCGTTTTGTAAACTTTTTTATTTTTTTCTTAAAAAATATGAAAAATAAAAATAGGATCAATTTCAAATACGGCCGTTATTTTTGTCCATGTTGTCGTCCAATGTTTTTTTTTTTTCTCCCTCTCATTTTATTAAAATATTTCTACTATATAAAGTTGAGAACAAAGGTAAGAGAGACCGCAAGAAGGGGAGAGTACGTACTTATTTAACTTGATCAATATTATATGAAATAATTAGCCATTGTTTCTATCTCTAATTAATTCTTTATTATCTTTTAAGAGATTTTCATGTGCATTGTTATGATAACTGCGACAGCTAATTAAGATTGGTGATTAATTTGTCAATTAGTACTAAAGGTAACTGGATATAATCTGGACCAAAAATTAAGCTGTAATAGAAAGACTTTGAGACAACAAAAGTGAAGAACCAAGCTGCAAATATTGAACCACAAGTTGTCAATCCCATTATAATTACTGATTAATTTATTTGTTATCTTTGTGAGCGTTATATATGCAATTAGTAGATGGTCATAATTAATTTGTCCTGTTATTTTTAATTAGCTAGTCTATATATTACTCGGCTGATTTAACCTCTTGACGAGATGCATAAGTATTGTTGGGCAATTAGTCACATGTTAATTAACACTATCATCAACAAGACATTTTATATATATATATATATATATATATAATTTCATCAACAAGGTTGACCTTTGTCCACTTCTAATTACTTTTGTTTTTTTGACTTGTACTCATGGTCCTAAGTCGTTTTTATTCTGCAAAGAGAGATCATGAAGATAATGTAGTAAACATATATATAGTACTTAAATATTACAAGTGTCACAATCAGCAACAGCTGAAAAATCTAAAGAAATAAAAATAAAAAATAAAAAATAAAACTTAACTCCTTTTTCATGGGGGGACAAAGGACACAGCATTCTGGATACAAAGCGTCAAAAATGATCAATTCAAAAGCTGGTCTAGATATATCATCAACATCAAGTGATCCTTTTATTTATGATCGTTAAATATTAATTACTACAGGTCTCTGAAAAGGGATTTCAATGGATATATATTCCATATCTAAACCTTTCTCACCCTGGCCTACCATGACCAAACCCTAGCTAGATATTATATTTGGAAAGAGATAAAAAAAGATAGAAGCGGGAACATATATATATAGGGGTACACTTGTAACATGTGTCCCCATTATATTACATAAGTAGACTCCTAATTATGGCTGCTTGAGCACTGTCGTTTTCCGTCGTCGCCAAGAGCTGCGATAAACGGTCGCTCAGGTCATCGACCTCTCTGTGTAAGTTCCTAATGTAGTTGCAAGTCTCCTGCAAGACCTTGGAAGCCGACACCTGCATGCGTGCGTGACCAAAACTTAATGAACAGCCTTATCCAATTACCATATTAATGTTGTTATCAAATATACATTTTGGATAAAAACATGGAAAGGTGAGTAATACACACACAAATTCTAGCCAAAAACGACTCATGCATGCCATAAAACTACAAAAATTGAAAACGACAACTGTTTTAATGAGGTATATAAGATGCGTACAAGTAAGATTACACTAGTACTAAATATCTGACGTTCGTGGCAGTTTATTTTCCGTGACACTTAAGCATTTTGTAGCAGTGAAGAAGAAGTCATGTAGAAGAAAATGCATTCATACATACATACATACATATATATATATATATATATGCATGTTAGTAGGGTACAAGTTGAGTCCCACAAAACCCCTCAACTTGCGCCTTACAGACTAAATGAGGCTGTAAGAGAAGCGTGACTTATCTTCCAAAGCAGAATGAAGACCACACAATAAATAACACACAAATATACATATAAATTATAATTCCTATAGAAGTACACATATAGAGATATAAAAAGCGATAAAATAATAACTTATATTCACTATTTATCATGTATGTACATATATAAAGAATACATTTATTTATACCTTGTCGGAGCGTCTGTTACGGATCTCAGGAATAAGTCGTTGAAGCTTGGAAACAAGATCGGTGATTTGGTCATCACTGATGTTCATGGAAACACCAGACTGCCTCGAACTAGATCTTCTGCTTGACATAATGTTGAAACAGCTAGCTAGCTCGAGGTGTCAGCGTACAGGACTTATATATATATATGTATAATATTACGAGCTAGTGCCTAGTATAAATGAATAAGAGAGAAAAACAGAAAACCAAACTGAGAGACAAAGAAGAGGAAGAGAGTAAAAGAGTGTGGGGGGTTTTTGTCAGAGAGAAGTAATGACTTATAATGAGCTAGCTAAGGAGAACTTTGGGGGGTATATATATATAAATATATTGCTAGAGATGGGGTGTATAAATATATATGTATGCATATATATATATATATATATAAATATAAGAGGAGAGAATATCGGGGGTGTAATATATATGAGACAAGTTATGGACAGGGGGAGATAAGGAAGCCCTGAAGAAAACTATAGAGAAGTGGGTGTTGGGAGAAGGGAGGACAAGTGCATGGGAGAAAGCAGTGGGCTATGCCTCGTTATTATTAATTAGGGTTTTGAGAGAAAAATGTGGTGTAGAGAGAGAAAGTTATAAGGAGAGAGAGAGAAAGAGGAGGGAGATACTGATGAAAAAGGAATAGAGATTACCCCATACTGTCTTTTCTGAATATGTCGCCAAACTGGGGTTAGAGTTCAAGTGGGTTAAGAGAAATGTGCTTGTTTATAAGCCTACTACTTGGACCCTCTCGGTGTCAGTCTCAGCAAGCAAGCCCATGTTATCTTTATTAATTCCTGTCATTTTAATAATATATTAATATATTTAATTTTGCGCTACATGACAATTACATTAACATTATTATTTTAAAGGAGTTACTCCCAAATCATCATCTGTATATATACTCATCTATGTATATATGTACTTAAGGGTGTTTTGGCTTATGAAAAGTTATTTATTTCCAATGTATATGTGTCATATTATAGTATCAAAGGAGAGCAATACTTAAAGAAGCCGCTTAATGTAGCCGGCCCTATAAACTCTCGCTCTTTCCTTTTTTTTTCTTTTTCCCTTTACCCCAAATTCTCTGACTCTTATCACAAATTTCTTGTAAGAATATTTTCTTTTCTTTTCTTTTTATCTATTTTGTAGTTTTGATCTTTATATATAAATAAAGATCAAAGATAAAAGATAAGTTTCCACACTTGGATCTTAATATAGTTATAATTCTGTATATTGTCTTATCGTTTTTTGTATGTGCTCCTCTGTGTGTGTGAGTATATAAATATATATATATATATGTATGTATGTATGTATTATTTTTTATCATATGTGTAGCTTTTAAAAGTGAGATCATATAAGAAGGCTAGCAATCAAAAATTGACATCAACAATAGATTTGTTATACTATTAAACAGAAAAATCAATGTTGGAGGCGGATAATATATTTAAAGAGTCAAATATTTAATTCTTTTGGGCTCAAATTTATCGATCGTGTAGTTATGATCACGCTAATAGAAAAAAAAAATGCACTACCTGATACCTTGCAGCCCGGACTGCATTGCTATGGTCTTGATGAAATAACGGAAGGTGAATTAGTAATCATCATTTGAGTGTTTTATTTATTAAAGTGTATCTTTTGTTACATATTGATCTCAGTATTCTAGTGCTATCTACATTTGTATTATCTTTTTCGGTTGATTTGAAACATTGCTTTTATTTCTAAAAGAAATGCAGTGTATGAACCTTAACTTATTGAGTATTATCCTTATATGGATGGCTGGGTCTTGATCAAGTTTTCATTATATTTTTCATTTTTTATAGCTCTAATATTATTAGAATGTGATCTAGTGATTTAAAGAATTGTGTAGTACTTATAATAGAAATTTTTCGTATTGGAGCTTTTTATACAGTAAAAATATTTTATTGATAGTGCGTGTTTCTAAACATTAAAATCTCATTAAAATCACGTTAGAAAAAGAAAATAAACAAATTAAACACCCAAAACTTAATACATACCAATATTTTCGTACGTGCATATGGGATTTTCAAAGTTCTTTTAGTTTAAATTATCCATAACACAATCTGAATATGGATATTTTGGTTCTAGCCGCATTATCGATAATAAATAATTATTCTATTGTTTTTTTATATTTTCTTTTTCTAAACAATGTAGATCCCGTTTATTACATCAATTCAAGTTTAGAATTTGAGTTTTGTTATAGAAAAAAGCTCTTAGAAACCGTCACATCTAATTTTTTTGATACAGTAAAAAACTTTCATTTAAAATTACATATTAACTCAAATCAACAAATTAAACAGACATGTAAATGACGTTTAGTTGGAGAATTCAAACTATGTGATTCAAACCATTTTTGATTTACGTAAATTTTTTATGAGAAAATCTCTATACCAAATATCCTCCTCGTGAAAAACTTAGCTCTCTCTCCCTTCCCTAGTGTGTATGACAGTATTGACCAGTCTGATATAAAATACCAAACCTCCATACTCTGGGTTACGACAAGGCACGTGTGGTCTCGTAAACTCTGCCGTCAAACTCATCTCGATTCCCGAGCTACACATATTTAATTTTGTACGACTTCTTCATTAACATATATTTAGTACTTAAGCAACCTTTGTAGTTAATTACATCAATGTATGTGACACTACAATGTACTACAGCGCCTTTCTGGGGCAAAAAAAAAAAAAAAAACCAAAACAAAACAAAAAATCCAGATAATCTGATTGACATATGTACAACGATTCCATTGTTTTTTTTCTTAACCAAGACAAAATCTCAGCTCATCACTTGGATACGCAATTTATGTAATATTAATATAATATTAATATACATAATGTATCATTATTACATGTATATATATATAATATGTAAAAGATAAGATGTCGTAGAAGTTAGGCGTTACATGTCCGCACGTGACAGGGGGATGTGCTGAACTTCTTTTCCGGCGAAATTTCTGGTTTAGAACTTCGTTTGTCGACGTAACTATTAGTTGGGATTTGGGAGAGATGTATCTATGATTAAATATGAATCCAAATTCAGCCAAAAAAAAAAAAAAGTGTTTTTCAGTACTTTTTGTTAATTTCAACTTTAATAGCTCAAGAAGAAGGGGAAAAAGTTGAAAATTGATTACATACAGGTTAAAACACAACAATCAAAGCCGATGAGTCGATGACTAGAATTACTCAAAACTTATATATAACTTTGGTTTGCTCGCTAATTTGAACAAAAAAGAATTAAATATACTTTAATTTCCTGATCCAAAAATATGTATCATGTCTTCAGGAAAATTAAGTTCTTTTATAGAGGATATGGTGGGATTTAGTAGTGGGGCACACAAATTTTGTATCAAGATCATGTGTCACCAAATGTCTGTAAACGTCATGTTACTAGAATATTTAAGAAAACTATATATAATAAAGTCATTAAGGGGATGTTTGGTTAGAGGATTCAAACTATAATTTAAATCTTCACTACAGTATTTTCTCTCACAAAAAATACATGTAAATAAAAAATGATTCTAATCATATGATTCTAATCTATGAACCAAACGTCTCCTAGCACAACACTTGAAAAGAAAAAAAAAAGCATATTAGTATAAGGTCGGAAACCTAATTAATGAGAAAGAGAACCCTCCCTCACTCTCCTTATATATCTTTAACATATAATCTTTAACACACATAAATAGTCAAAAGATCTTTCCGTCCTTTTGACATGTGGCCTTACGAGGAGACTTTTCCTTTTTAACACATGAGCATTATCTTTTTCTTTTCTTTTCTTTTCTTTTTCTCTATATTTTTAAGCTCTTATAGAGATTAATTTTGTTTCTAATGTGTCTTTTTTAAATTATTTATATAATTTATTTTAAATATATCCTTTTTTTTCCTTTTTTTTAAAGTTATTTTGTAGTTTAGTCCCTTTTTATATGTTTCTCAAAACATTTTTTCTTATATATTTACATATGTTTTTTTTTTCTCGGATGTACTCTCAATTTATCTCATAAATAAAAACACTATAATTTTCTCCATTTAAATAATTTCTCTCAAATATGAGTCCACTCAATTTTCTTTTTCCAAATGTGGCCCTCATAAAATATTTTTTTTTTAATTATTTTACTGAGATCATATCTTCTCGAATATGTTTCTGCCTAAATATGTTTTTCTTATAACTCTCTTAAATACTATTTTTTTTCATATGTACTCCATAAATGGTTTTCTCTCTAATTTACTCCCATAAAACTTTGTTTTCCTTTTAACTATGCTCTTTATTATTATTATTTTTTTTACTAAACTAACCTCTTAAAATAATATTAAGTGATCAATAGAAAAAATTATGAAGCAATTTTAAACCTTTATATTCAAAAAAATATAACACGTTGAATGCACTCGCGTAGCGTTTATAATAAATTTTCCTAAAAAAATAAAATTTCCCTGGCCTTTTTTACATAATAATTATATAATATATATATATATATATATGTATAACTTACTTACTAAATATATATATATATATATATATATATATATAAAAGTTGATTGGAAGTTCCCGTTGAGTGTGGAGTAACCAGCAAAACAAAGTTATCAAAAAAGACCAAAATGTGGACTACTGAGGAGGCAAAATTGATGAATATGTACCACCATTGTCAACAAGATTCAGCTGAACCACGCATGCATTTGAAATGTAAAAAACGGCTTTCATGTTCTGATCAGGTTTAAAACGTGCATCCAATTTATTGGTATCTGAAAGTTGAAGTACTCAAACGTTTTTATAGAACGGACTTGTGATAAAGAATAAAACGGTGGCATTTACATGAGAGACGAAATGGAGACGTAATTAAACTAAAAGAACCAAAGAAATAAGCAACTAACCAGAGAAAGATTAAAGCAAAACAACTTAAAGAGTGTCTGCAGAGTGAAACAAGAAACGAATACAAAACGAGGAAAATACGTATAAGATTTGACGGCTAAAGATGAACGGTTTAGATATATTGAATTAATGTAACTACTTTTCGCGTCCCAAATGCATGTAACTAGGAGGAAAAGGCGATCATTTGTGCGCTTTTGCTTACTTAAAATTAATAAGAATTTGATTTCTAGGGTTTCTTTAAATTCTTGAGTGGTCCAATTAAGTGAAGTATTTTGTTGTTCATCGTTTGATCATTTTACACCCAAACGATTATTGAAAATTATTGTGTATATCTTTCTACCTAACAAAATCTTTGGATCAGTACTATAACTATCTGTTAACGAGCAATATTGTGGCTGTACCATAATGATGCCTAACAAAATAACAGATACCAAATTGAAACGGGGGTACGATGAA